ATAAAGTAAAAATGACCGAATCTTGACAGTTTTTCTCATTTCTGTTTCAACTGAAATTGCCATTTTTCTTCCCTTAATCTTCTCTGAAAAGTGTTTTGCAGCAGTTCACTGTTAAAATAAGTCCTTAAGGGATTATTTAGCAGCTGAATTAAATCGAAATTACCAGATTGCTAGTTAGCATTAGATTGTAGAAGTAAATGTCTTCACTTCTCCCCAGTTCATAGCAAAGTTATGTTTTATGAAGATTGTTTTATCTGAGAACATATTTCCTTTTAGGCACCCTGGTTTTATAGCATTCTATTTGTGATTTAATGCACATGGAGGTACATGTGTGTTACTCTTATAATGGAACCAGGGGGAAAAAATTGAAAATCTGTCCATCTGCAATAGTTTAATGGGAAAGAGCTATTGTTTTCCAGGGCTTTTGCAGCCTATGGAAGATTGCTTTTTCCTATCTAGTTGTTAGTAGAGGAAGGCAGGGAGTTGAGTGCTCCATCCAAGGAACACTGACACCGGTATGTAAAAGCTCAATTGTGTAACTAATTATTTAGAAAGACCCTGTGAAACAACAGCTGGAGAAGATTAAAGCAGGTGGATTTGTGTTTTGAAGAGTCCACCACATGCCAAAAAAACAGTACAGTGTGGGGTTATCTTTCCTGGGATGGGTTCAGGAAAAATAGCTCTCCTTCACCTCCTACACCTGAGATCTTGATATCAAAGGCTACAGCTTGCTTATTCCTCTTTCCAATAGACTGAGTCACAATTTCCAAGGGTAGGAGCCTACAGGAAGAGTTCAAAGGTGGAATGTTCGTGCAGGAATTGAGCACAGGCAGCTCCTCTGCTTGCGAGCATTTTGCAGGAGGTAAAAGCAGACATCTCTGGAAGAGGAAAACAAAGTTTTGTTTTAGAGAGCTGATAGTTTTACTGCCTCTTTTGCTGCCAGGATAAGGTCCTCAGCTGCCATGAACAGCAAAGTTTAATTGAAGTGCAGAGAGCTGAATATGTAGTCAGAATACCTTCCTGGTGTCAGGTGCCCTGCTAGTGTGTGACAAAGCTTCTGCCAAGTCTGTTGCTCCAAGTGGCTCTCCTAAAAAGCTTATTGCTTCAAAGAAACTATGAGCAAGCTGCTACATTTTATTATTTCGCTCTCTCTCTCTTGCCTTCTTTTTGTATTTTTCTTTCAGCTAAACCAGATTAATTTTGAGCTATAAAGCTTTCTAAAAGCCTGCCTAAATTAATGAGCTAAAGTCAGCAGTATGCAATGATACATGTCACGTAAAAATATAATCAGCATTTTTCCCAGAATTGCAGACACCTTAGAATTTTGCAGTAAACCAAATATTTTTAAAGTGGTGCAACCAAATGAAAACTCTAAATTTGCCAGCAGAAGGTGGATTGCTGATGCAGTAAATGTGCTTTTCTTCTACCATCCAGGCAATTAATCCTTTATTTCAGAAAAATCCCCATAAACCAGCTGTGTGTGTTCCCAGCAGCTTGAAGATAACTTGTGAAATTTGGGAATTGTTTATCGTTCATTTTTCTCCCTTTCTGTCCCTTCTTAATTCAGCCAATAAGAAGACATAGAGCACTTTATAAAGTCATTCTCAGCTTTAGCTGAATACTCTGGAGCATTAGTGTGCTTGGTTTTAAATAGAGGAGAGTTGGTTTTTCCTGTCCAAGCTGTTTTTCCAAACATATGCTGTGTTGTGGTTCACATATTTCATGGAATATAATTCTCTGGATATGCTGCATGCTGTGCTATAAGCTCTCTGCATAGACTATAAATCCTCAAGGATTTTGCAAAGTAAGAATTTTGTAACACATAAATTTACTGTCTGGGGACCCGATCCTCTAATTAGTCCCATACAGGTAAATTCTTACACTTACAGGATTCTTTTAGCTCAAGGGTCTTCTCAGCAGGTTTTCACTCAATAAATTATAAGGGACACAAGATCCCAGCCTCAGGAATCAAAGAAAGTGCTTTCTAAATGTGGTGCTTTTACTTGAACATCCCACAGTGAATTTGGACTAAGACCTGATTCTAAACTGAATTCATCACTCTTAATCTGTAGTGTGGGGGGAAAAGCAGACCAGTGAGACAAAAATAAACGTTTTTCTCAGATCTGCCTCCTTATCTGACGTCGGAAGGTCCCATAAAAGAACGAAAAAGAGTGTTGAAATACAGCTACAAATTTTAATGGTTTTATTGCTCTTATTGGGACAGCATATAAGAAGTCTGCATATATGATGTGTGTCTGTGGTCTTTGACCACAAAACTTAACATGAGAAAGGAAAGTGTTGACATTTGGTAAAGAAATAGGTTCCTCCCAGCCACCCACCCACAAATACAGTGTGTGTAGCAATCGTCTCCTAATGTGCTTTTTTTCCCTCCAGATATATGTGAGTGCTCTGATCTTTTATTTGGCTCTTCAATGCATCCCTGCAAATGAAATTAGTATTCTGGGATGTTGCTAAAACATTCAAGTGGCTCTTTTGCATCAGCACTGGCTGGCTTGAAATGAGCTCCATAGGGAGTCTTGAAAGGGGGGATTTTGCATCACAAACTGGTTGAGGATGTAGAATCAGGAAAGGAAGATCAGAAAAGGAAGAGGTGTTTGACTTTTGGGGGGATTGCCTGAACCTCATCTTTCAGCTCTAAAGTTTCCTTAGCTGAAGTCTTAAATTTCCAGCACCAAAAATAAGTAGAGACAAAAGTGTTCAACTCTGGGCCCTGCGCATATGGTTTGATAAATAGCAAACAGCACAGCCTGGAATCCTGCGTGGCTCACACTGTGCTTCCAGCTCTGTGGTAAACACATGAATAGAAAGGAGAAGGCAGAAAGTCTTGAGCTGCACTCGCCGAGAACATCTGCATTTATGAAAAACTTTCCCTAATTGAAAATCTAGTAGTTTCAAATGCTTTCCAACTGAGAGTTTGGAAACTAGCTCAGGGGCTGCTAAGATAGCAAGAAACAGCAGTGGCTTTGAGCCCCCAGTTCAGGTTACTCCCCCACACTCCTCCTCCTAACTTGGACGTTGAGAAGGTGCTAATAACATCTTTACCATTTCTAACAGGGGGAAAAGTCTCTCTTTAGACTTCAACCACATTATTCTGTAGTTCTCTAACTCCTGTCCTTACCACCATCTCCCCGTCCCTCCTCCTCCTCCTCAATACTTCCTCCTGTTTCTTTGAGATCTACTACACCAAAAATATTTTTGGAAATACCACAGACTATTGTTTTTATTAGTGACTGGAAAGCTTTGTAGTAGGATGCTTTTGTGTTTCATTTGTTTTCCTTGCTCTGGCACAGCTGTTTTTGCTTTAGCAGCATTAGAGAGATGGTTAAACTATTTGTGGCCTTTTCTAACCCAGCAGATCTCTTCCACTGAGTGCTTTAAACTGAATGACCGAGACTGTAAGTAACAGGTTGTCTGCGTGGGCAGTTTTGTGTGTAAAGTTACAAATGCACTGTTTTTATGAGATCTTTTAATTTGTTCAAGCAAAACACCGATCACTGTGAAGCGAGTCCCTGCTTCCCTATAAATTTCCAGCCAGAGCACTGACAGAACCTTGACTCAGGAGGATACAGAACAAATGAAGTAGCAGATCTTGTTCAAGCCTACACAGGTTCAGAAATATTAATGTAAAAGAGGTTCATGTAGTTGTGGTGATCCCCACTTCAGTCAAGAGGGAAAAGGAAGAAAAGCCAAAGCAGGTGGTGGGGGCAGAGTGTGGTCTGAGGACAAATCTGCCAAAGGTGGCATGTAGCTGCTGCAAATGCCTTGCCTGGCCACTGTGGTTACACAGAGCAAGATGGGGAATTAGGAAACGGGCCTCCAGTCAGAGAATGGTGACAGCAGAAAGTGGTAAATGAAGAATGAAGTGAACGAAATGTAAAGTAAAATGAAAACGTAAATGGAGAGTGAAAGCGTAACACATCTGTGCAAAGGGAAAAGCAAAGGGAAAAGAGGAAATGACTTGCACTGGAGGTTTCAGTGTTCATGTCTGGTGACATATTGTAAGTGATATTGAAAGTATGGGCTGATGAACAGCAGGAAAATGAAAGTTAAGAGTGTAACTGTGTCCTGCTAAATCCCAGTCTTACCACACATTCTCACCAGCTCTGCTGGGCAGACACAAGCTGCTGAACAGTGATTAGCTCTAGAGTCTTGATCTGCTTAACAGTGGCTTGGCAGTTCTGTTTCTGGTGAGGTCAGGCAGATGACAGACCTGGCTCGATTGGGCTGGCACTGGGCAGGCATGTGGGTGTGGAGGAGGTGGCACCATCCCTGTCAGCACCTCACAGCTCATAGGTGAGCTCAGTGACTAGGTATAATGCAGGTGGAGTGGTGAAAGGATATATAATATCTCCTACTACAGTAATGTAGAGTGTGGCTCTTGCCTCGTTATGCAATGGGTTGGGAAGCGACTGCACTTGTCAGAAATCACCTCCTTTGTGGCACTGCAAAAGAAATGGCTGAAATTCTTTTCAAGCACATTTTTTCCTCTGCTGTTTTTTGTCTTTTTCCTTCATTAAAAATAATTATTTTCAACTCTCCTGTCAGTTTTGCTGGGCGTCCCATCTGTGGATCCATGACTAAATGAGGCCAGGGACAATGCAGAGATAATAGTTATGTTGAGAAAGAACATACTTGATTTCCATATCCTGTCTGCACTACTTCTCTGTAGGTTTCTGTCATCCAGGAGGCCTTATTTGGCGCAACAAAGTCCAGGGAATTGTCCACATGTCTGTCCCCAGACAGGGACTGTTTCTGCCCATGGGAAAGCACCTCACAAACACAGGAGTATCAGCCATCCATCCCTACAATGCCATAATAATCAATGGAGTTGCATTTAGCTCGTTCCGTGTTTTTGTTCTCCATCAAATAGCAACATTTACATTTCAGCCAAACTGTTACCCCCAGCCCTGATCCTTGCCTGTGGCTAGACTCCAGTTATGATCTTTGTACTGACTGTTCTCCTGGCTGGCTCATTTCAGGGCTCCAAAGAGTGCGTCAGCTGGAGAAAAACACAAGGTACTTCAGGCGAAAACTGCATGAAATGGGCTTCATCATTTATGGCAATGATGATTCTCCTGTTGTTCCCTTGCTCCTTTATATGCCTGGTAAGATAGGGTAAGTACCGAAAAAAACTTGCTGGCAAAGCAAGCACTGTTCAAGTTTGTGGGTTATTTGGTACACGCTGCAGAAGATGATGTACTCTGTCGTAGGTGCCTCCCAGGAGAAACATCCACTGTTAGTTGAATTCATAATTTAGTTCTGTTTTCTTTTAAATTTGGCCCTAGGTTTAATTTTGAATTGTTCCAGATGTCAGAATTTTAAATTTTTTCTCTTTTCCTTTTTTAACGTGGTCTGGAATAATACTCTTCATAACATTTTGAATTTGAACTTTTTGGTTTTGTATTTGTTATCATTAAAAGAGACACATTAGCTTTGATGTATGAACTGGTTTAGATGGCTGCTTTTTTTCCCCATCTGATCTTTGAATGGTCTTTGCATGTTTTACCATTCAGTTCCTCTCAGGCAGCACTTGTGCATTGACTTGGACACACAGACCAGAATTCAGTGGTAGAATAATGGAAATGTTGAACTGTAGAGAGTATTTGCAGTAGTTTAGAGTGGCTGTGGGCTCTTGGTCTCATGCCACACAAGCCTTCCTAACTGGCAGAGTAATTGTGAGAGCAAATAAACCATCACACAGAGATTGGTTCATTCCTATTGATGTTCAGGAACCAAGCAGTCATGCCTTCCACAAGCCCAGCCTCTTCCATCCGTAGGGATTGTCAATGCCCACATGGTTTGATTTGTACTCAGAGACTTTCATTGACATATATTAATCATGTCTACCCTGCAGAGAGGGCTCTGCCATCACATTTCTAGTATTTGACACCCACTTGGCTTCATGAGCCACTAGGCAGCAAAGAATCTCAGTCCTGCTGGTAAAATTCTGGCTTTTATGGAAATCAGTGGGAATATTCAATCAACCGAAAGCAGGATTTTACCTATTGCTGCATTATATGTGACTGTTTTCTGTCTGTGTTCAGTTTATTGGGGATAATGTATTTTTGATTTTACTCCTTCTACTTTTTCTCTCCTTAGGGCTTTTGCAAGGCGCATGTTAGAAAAAAACATCGGGGTGGTCGTGGTTGGGTTTCCAGCTACTCCCATCACAGAATCCAGGGCTCGGTTTTGTGTGTCAGCTGCACATACACGGGAGATGTTAGACACGGTAAGCACAGCACATGTCCTGCCCAAATTAACTTCAGGTGCTGAGGAGGCTGGGAGAAGCTGTCCCTCTGTTACTTTGAGTCTGAATACTTCGTTTTTCCATTTGTTCTTCTGGCCTTGTCACTTGATCTTTAAAGGCATTTGAGCCTTATACATTTTATTTTCTAAAATAAATTACGGGACAGTTAACTTCTTATGTTCTTCTATTTCTAATAGTGACCAAATCTGTCATCACTAAAAACCTACATGAAGAGCACAAGACAAAAGTTAAATGCTCCGTCAAAACTATCAGAGTAGGAAACCTGAAACTCTGTGGAAATAATTGAAAATCAAGGTTTCCATACCCATATTTCCATTCCATATTTCCATGTGTTTCTTGAATTACAGAAGTATATGGGACAGCCTTGGGGGTACAGGTGGAGAAATTGCAAACAGTATTTGGAACTGTTTGAACCTAATCAAGTTTAATTGGTGCTGTCTGGCCAGTCTCAGTTCTGTATCTTTCTCTGATATCAGAAATACCATTAAGAGTATGTTGAAACTTCCATCATAAACCTCTGTTCCAACACAGAAATGTGTTTAAAATAAACTCTTTGAAATTTTCCATTTCCTTTTTTTGCCGAAGGTGTTTTTGGCCTGGCTTGAGATACGTTCTTTCATTCTCAGAATGAGCCAACTTAGAGGCATGAAACAAAGAGGCTTAACGACACATTTCGGGTTTTGCTTTTCCTCTCTTTGCACGTGTGCTGATGGTCAAAGTGAAAAATCCTTGAACATGGAAAGGCATTTGAGTTAAATGTGCCACTGGTTCATGCAGACAAGCACTTGGGCCTGCAGAGAGCCCCTGACTCTCCTTTTGCATCCTGAGATGCACATGGATGTGGAGGCTGGAGCCCTGTCCTGCTGGGCAGCTCCCATACCAGCTTCAAACATCAAAAACCTGCCTTGCATGTGTGCAGTGTAAAATTCCTGCTGCTTTAAAGGTGCAGTAGTTATTAACAAGGTACAATACCATAAAGGTAGTATTTCATCAAACAGAGCATAGCTACGTTCTTGTGTTGGTCTTTATGATATTTGACTGTGAGGATTTTGGATCATGTAACTGGTAACAGGCAGTGAAGCTGATCTGAAGATTCATCTCTCGAGGTTGCTGCTTTGATTTTCTTCCTTTTCCCCAAATGTCAAGCCCACCTCATTTTTTGGGCCATCATTGTGCATTCACTCCCTGCTACCTGCACCTTGCTGCCTCCAGGGATGGTCTGACACTCCCCAGCCACCACTGAATGTGCTGAGCTTTTGCCACAGTACTCGTGGCACTCTTACAGCATGGGGCAAAGGAAATGCCCTGAGTTTAATGATTAGCAGAAAGAAAGCTTTTCAGACAAAATACTTTGTGACTGTGACTAAACCCAGGGTAACAACAGGTAACAAGCACAATGAAAATATTTCACTTTGGCAAAATTTGTTTTGTATCTCAACCTGGAATTAAAGAGGAAAGATCTATGAAAGGGCAAGCTCCCAAGAATAACTTCCTTAATGACCTGGAAGCTATCTTTCTGCATAAACCATTACTAAATTACTTCTTTTTGTTCCAAATTACTTCTTTTTGTCCGTGAGCTTGTTTTAGTGGCTTAACAGAAACCGGCTCAAAATCAAAATTGCTGTTTTCTTCTTAGATGCCAAAAAGTTGGCTGCTCTTGAATGGGGGTCAGAAGCTGCAACGTACTTAGCTGCCTTCCTGTGGTACAGAGTTCTTGGCTATTTTTTTAATCCACTAGAGAGCTAGGCACACTCAGCTCACCAAATTGCATTACAGTATTAATGAACAAAAATTATTTGTCCCTGTGATATATATAAAAAATGGCATTCACTAAAATTATCTTAAACTATTCAGACTGTTTCTGCTGACTCTGCTCAGCACTGTGAGCTGAGTTCTACCTAAGAAAATGCAACTCCAGTCTTTGGGAGCTGTGGAGGAATATTGAATCATCAAACGTTTCTTTTGCACAAGCAAAGATAACTTTTTATCTTGGTTTTTACCTCTCTTTGCTTTTGGAAAAAGTAATTCTTTTTCATCTGTGCTCAATTAATGTACTTACTAATAAACCATAACCTACTGAAGGAGTTAATTCTGCTGTAATGCTGCTGTACATCTAAACTGCACTGATGTTCACTGTTTCAGAATGAATGCAAAATTTGCCCATTTGTCCTTTAAACTTTTTTTAATTTATTGTTTTTTTTTTTTTTATAATCTTCTTGTTCTGCAGTAAAGTAGAAGTTACTAGAACTTCATTTCTTTTCCAGTAGAATTGACGAAGTGTCATGGTCTTACAGGTTTTGAATGCTCTGGATGAATTGGGTGATTTTCTACATCTGAAATATTCCCGGTATTCCAAGTCATCTCATCCTGAACTGTATGAAGAATCTAGGCTTGAACTTGAAGATTAAGTTTTCCACCCATGAAGAGAACATTATGATGCTATGAAAGGGCGGAAAACCTGAAAACTAAACAGCACAAATGCATTTCTTCCCTTCTAAGGACAATTTTTATTTTTCAGTTAATTGAAAGGAGGGGAAGCTCGGGTGTTGCATCACGTTGTATCAAATTTCTGTATTCAAGAGACTGAAATATTGATACAGATTTGCCTCCCCAGGAGATCTGTTCTTTTTAAGGTGTTTTTGATGCAGAATGAATGCATCCATTGATCCAGTTGCTAACGTACAGCTTTTGATATGGCCCTTTTTTATGAAGAGGCTTCAGATAGTCTTAATTGTGACTGAAACAATAAAGTTTAAAAAGTTAATAGATTCCAGTGTAATATAGCTGAGCTTCATCAGTGAGACTGACCTTGATCTCTTGAAGAGCACGGATGGAGACGCCGGTGTGGACTGCTACAAAGGAATGAGCAGAAAGTGACCTCTTTAACCAAGTTGCACTATCATGCATTTCTCCAAGGACACAAAGTGTTAGAAAAAGGCTAATGCTGAGAATGAGAAAAGTAGCCTGATGAGATCATGTATTTCTGACAGCAGGTTATGGGAAAGGGGAAATTCCTCCTCTCCACAGACCTTTTTTCAGTCACCTAAATGCGCTCTCAAATTTGATTTGTACAAAAATTTGGGCTTAGACATAAACAGAAATGCTTTTCTGCCAACTCATTTGACCTACAGCCTATCACATCCTATCACTACCTAAGTTCTTCAGCAGGCTTGCTCCCTTTTTGTGGAGCAGTAGTAAATAATTTTAATAAACATTTAACTTTCCCGTAAAAACCTTGATCAAAACAGTCAGATACTTGCAGTTCGCAAACTGCAGATGACATTTATGGGCCCACTCCTAAGTTTCTTGAACTACTTATGGGCCCCATAAATTCACTAACAAGTACATAATGCTGAAGCTGTTAGCTATGCTGAATGTGAAGTTCAGGATACCATAAGCAGTTCTGCCACCTGTTAAATACAAAACTCCACCATTTCTATACATGCTACAGTCATCAATGAAATAACATTTCTTGAAATATTTTTGTCTGTTTTATGCATGTCAGGGGGTGTTCTGTCCAGGGTTTTTTTTTTTTAGCTGTTTGTTTTTTAAATAATTATTATATCTCCTGAAGAGGAAGATGCCCTTGTCCCCTTGTCCACTGCCCCAGTGACAAATGCTCAAAGCTGCCTGAAGGAGTTGTTCCAGCCAGCAGTTTCCCTGCAATGCCAGCAGCCACAAGCATCAGGGTTGTTTGGGCTGAGTTGCTGGAAGGAGATTGGAGGCTTTTTCCCTTTTTTTTTTTTTTCCCCGGCGTTGAAAAGCAGTTCTGCAGCTTTAAGAATGAACTCCAAACAATTCCACGCTATCAAATGTCATTGTAAACACATCAGATGAGAGATGTTTAGCTTTCTGTTGCACAGATGTACCACACTTTCATGTTCTCTTGAAAGCTGTGGTGTAAACTTAACCCACAGCTGCAATATTAGATTTAAGAACAGAACAATTAAATTGTGGAGTACCAATTACACTATATTACTCCCTGCTTGTTAAAGCAGCTTTCAGGATATAACAAGGCTGACTGATTATGAGGGCCCATTTTTTGTTGGATTTTTGTTGTTGTTGTTGTGCAAGTTAATAAAAATCCAGTGGTGCTATAACTTTAAGAATTGATTACAACACATTCCGTAATATCAAATGTCGGCTTTAGGAAATGTTTATCAAGGGCTGGGGGAGGACTAAGTGGTGTGTCATGTGATTCTTCACTGTGGTAGATGCACTTGAAAAGCACTGCAGAGCTTCAGGGGAGCTGTGTTGGTGGATAAGAGCAAACTCGCTGTATAAATATTCAAATACTTGAGCACAGGACAAGGAGAAATTAGGAAATATCAGCTTCATCTTAGAATAACCTGGCAGTTTGTAGTGCACAGCTTTGTTACATGCAGAGTGAGAGCATTTACTGTGAAAGGAGATGGGTTGAGAAATCTCTGCAACCTGTTCCTTGAGGAAAAGCACTGGCTTTGATATATTGCTTTTTGATCTCTATTGCTGAACATCTGCGGCCAGATCCTCAGTTGACTTCTGACCTTCCATCTTGGGGTATACAGTCATAGTTTATATTTCAGCAAACATCATTACACGTCCTGTTGGAGGCAACACACTATTTCCCTCAAAGAGAGGCCTGAGATTGATTAAACTACAGAGTGATCACTTTCTGTACCCCAATAGGGGAATGTTTTCAGTCTAAAGCCGAATTCTTCCTGCCCTCAGAACATTACTCTCACTCATATTAAGGGGACAGGACAGCTATTTTTTAGAGACTGTCAGTTGATTTATTATGTGCTCTCTTCTGATTTCTTCCATCCCTTACACACTAGAGAAAGTACAGACTGACTACCCCTGGGCTTGGGGAACAGTTAGGGAGAAATCTCTGCTCCACTCATGCAATAATGAAACTCCCAGGGACTTCAGCCTTTTCGATTTTCCCCATGAGGTTTATAGTCTGGAACTTACTTATCTAACAGTGTGGAATTTTTCCTGGTTTACTTAAAGATTTAGAGTTGATCAGCATTTGAAGACTCTATTTTAGCTCATGTCTGAAAAAGTCTGATAGAATACCTGTTAGGAAATTTGCACCTCTAGCACAGGACCACGTTTTTCCTAGAATGCCCTCCTTCTTCTGGCATGCATGTTCTTGGAAAACATAGTTCTCTGTAATTGCTTTAGAAGGTTTTGAAGAGCTGCCTTCCATAAATTTAAAAAAAATGCTCAAGTTGTCGTATTTTAATCCAGTGGAAACGTAAGTATAACTACACTAATTTTTTGTGGGCAAGCTGCATCCTGTTATCTTATGTAAAAACTTGATCGACCTTTATGATATGGGAAAACTCTAGAGTTTCTGTTTGAGAGAGAAACTGAATTGTTTTCCTGCACCTTTATCCTTCCTCATCTTTTAGAAAGTCTTCATCTCCTGAGCTAACAAACTTGTCAAGGTGGTTCCCCCCACCACCTTCTGTCTTTTTCTATTGTTCTCTCTGTTCTGCTGTTCTCTCTTGGGGGAAAGCACACAGGCAGCTGCAGTGGACCTGAGTGCAACAGTTGGCTTTCTGGGCATTGCCTCACTGCCTGCTTTTCCTGGTATTCTCATCAGCTCTTGCAGATTTTAATCTTTCCTTTTCAAGTAAAAAGTTTCCTGTGCATCATGCTAAATTTCTGTGCTGAACTGAATCTGAACTGCCCAAGTTGCTGAACCAAGAATGGGCTTGTTCTGTCATTTGTGCAAGTCCAGATCAGGTTAAGTCTTGCTTTGAAGTGAATATTGTTGGTTTAAAACTGGTACAATTTTGAGAGGAGCCTGTCAGTGTGAGGTGAGCTGCCTGCATTTGTTTCAGAGGGGTTTAAATACTGGTGTCTCTGGACTGTTTCACAGCTGCTGCTCTTCACAGGGGACCAAGATACGGAGTGGATCTATTTAAGGTAGGATTTCAGCTGGGTTTTATTTTCTTCTTTTTTTTTTTCCAAAATGTTTTTGGTTGAAGGTGTGTTGCATATTTCCCTGTCCTGCTGATTCAGGGAATAAAGTAGTGATGCAAGAAAAGCAGTCTGTACTAAAGGTGTTTATGTACTTTCTAGCCTGCTTCAAAATTCAAGAGATTCTCTAATATGTGACCTGCTTTTTATTTGTGCATGAAGTTTAATTGTTCCTCAATTTAAAACACAGATCAGGACCAAATTTTAAAGCAACCACACCACCACCAAACACACCAGCTAAGAAATGGCAGCTGTCATGCCATTAGTGGCAGCTGAACATCTGAGCCTCCAGATGCCTTCAAAAACAGCATCTAGGTGTTTCGCTCATTTCCTCAGACATCCAGGGTAGTTTGTGTTCCCTGAAGATCAGTCACAAGATAATGAGAACTCACTTTATCCGTTTGGGAGGCAGAGCTTCACACTTGTCAGGATGGTCCCAAAACCACCATCCACCTGACCACACTAAATAATAGTTCAGCACCAGGAGTCCAGGGTCTGAGGCAGGCTGGTTGCTCAGCACTCACTGAAGAGGGGAATGTGTTTCCACATATGCAGCATGTCACTGACACGTGGCATAAGGAAGCAAAGATAAATCCATTTTTGTCACGTGCTAACCAAATGAAAAGCATTAAGTGCAGTGGCACAGGATCTGGAGAGATGTGGCAGACCTGGAGACTTGGACTAGATCCAGTTGTGTACAGAGACTTTTTGTGCAAGCATTACAGCTGTTAAATCTTTTTGACCAGCTAGGTGGAATAGTGGAAAACTATTGCTCTTTAATATCAAAATAGTGACTTTGGAGGAGGCAAACAGAGACATCCCATCACCTGTGTTGTCCCAGTTTGTTTTTGAAGAGAAGGAAGGGTAGATAGGGTGCCATAGCAGGTGACCCTGATACTTGGTACTCTATTCATAGAACCTTCTGGGAGAGTCACTTCTGCCAGATGCTGTGCCAAGGCCCAAAACTGTAAATTGTTATCAGTATACCCAAATTCCACAGCTTGTGCTGCAGGGGTGGCCAGGGTTGCTTGAGCCACCAGCTTTAGCAAGCTGTGCTGATGCTGGAAATTACTCAGAGATTGTTTTAGTGGCAAGAGTGCACAGAGCCACTGGTGGTTGGGATGCCCTTATTGGGCATCACTGCAGGGACTGCCTGTGCTGCTCTGCCAGGCATACCTGATGTGGCTCCAGGGCAGGCATGAGAGTCTGTCCTCATCTTTGCAGATGCAGGACTTGGGCTGTAGGTGACTCCAGCAGATGAGCTTTGTTCTGGCAACTCAGCTCAACCACAAGATATAGCCAGGAAAGCAGGACTCTGTAGGAAAATCAGAGTATCAGTTGTCACGAGTCAAATACTTGTAGTACCAGAGAAATGCTGATGTGTGTGATGGAGCAATGGTGCTTTGCTAATACTTCCATTGAAATTGTCTCAAGGCATTTGCTATTGGCATGGGCTGACTCTGCTATCCTGTGTGTGGACCAGAGTATTTGTTTGTTCCTATAGAGCAGAACTGATCTCTCGTGCCATGAGGTGCCATCAGGTTTGTTGCCCTGACCTTTGGTGTCACCAGTTCAGGGCACAGCATGGAGGAGCAAGCTGAGCCTGCTGGGTTCTGACCTGGCCCCACATGGTCTGTGACACAGCAGTGAGTAAGTGTTCCTTGGTTCAGGCTGGCTTTGGTGTGCCCAGATAGCTTCGTCTGAAGTGGGTTCCTTGTCTGTTCACCTCTCCAGCAGCTGTTCTGGAATGCACAGAGGTGATGAAATCAGTGGGGACATTTCAAAAGCA